AACTATATCAAACACTTAGTAAAAATTTAGTGAAACTAAAGGTTTAACCATTTTGCTAAATCCAAAATGAGTTTAGATAAGCAACCTTATTTATGACTAAAACTTTTAACAATGTTTTTAGAAGTGAATTTGTTATTAAAAACACTCTTCCAATTTCAATTCCATTCTTTTCTAGATAACTTAATCAACTATTGTCAACTCAAGTAAATCTTTCTAAAGTTCTTAAACTTATTCCAGTATATTCTGAACTTTTAATAAGACTTTGAACTGCATTTCAGATTTTTAGCTTAAAGTTTTCTTCTTTTTCAGCTAATTGCTTTTTCAATAATTCTATTTTATTTATTAGTGCTTTATTTATTTGTTGTTATTTATTTATAATGTTTATCATGTTTGTTCCTTTTTTTTATTTATTTTTTTAATATATTTATATACTTTTTATAAGAGTATGTTAAGTATATAAATTATTTTAGTACTTTTTTACTTTAAAAGTGAAAAAAAGCTAACAATATTTATTAGATAACAGCAAGGAAGTGATGAAGTAATGAAGGTAATTTTATTCTAAATATTTTATTCATTTCTGGTATAGAATGGTTTTAGGCAAGTAATATCTTTGTATTCATCTTTCACAAATGGATGAATATTATGATAAAGATATTCTTGCTTCTTATAATCTAAAGAAGAGGAAAGGAATATTAACACTAAAATAGATAAAGCTTTAATCTCTTCAAAAACATCTGCTTTCTTGGTTTTTAATAAATTGAATTTAGCAAAATGTTTATTAGAACTTTCACAGTACCAAGATTAAATACTTTAAAAAGAAAATGTTAATATTTTTGTATACTTGGTAATTTTTTAAAATAAATTCCCAAATAGCTTTAATATCTAAGTATTGAAAACCTATTCCTACTTTATAGCATTAAGCTTTATTCAATTCAGCTGGACTAGACTTTTTTATCATCTCAACCACATAATCTAGACAATCTACTCTTATTTTTCTGTAAAGTTTTTTAATCATGTCAAAATTACCATCACATTTGAATTTGGTATGTTTAGGAATCATGAAATTTAATTCAATACTTTCATAATAATCACTAATTACTAAATATAAATAAAATCAAATGGTGATGTTATTTTTATTTTGCCTACTAGCATTATCACAAGTAATTTTTAAATGCTTTCCACTTTTATTCAATTTTTTAATTCCATTAAAATCATATTAAGAGTTCCATTAAGACCTTTTCCTATGATTTCATCTTCATTAAGAATATAATTAATTTGTTCTTTTACTGCTTCATTTTGAATACTAAATAAATGAACTTTACATAGACTAAGGTAATATATTTTACTTACTTATTGATATAAATGTAACACATAAACATTTTGGACTCAATCATAACTATAATGAGCAGTAGTTTCAATATTGTAATACTATGTTTTATCCTTAGAATAATCCTGATTAACTAATTTTTTTTGTTCTTTTGCTAATTTAGTGTTTTTATTATAATAATTTCTTTCTACTTTAGCTTTAGACAGGTATTCTTTAAATCTTTTAAGTAATTCTTTAACTTCTTCTTCTTGGTGAGTATTATAATGCAAAATATTTCTAAAATGTTGACAAGTATTACACAAATCAATCTTAGGACTCATAATTTGAATCTCTGGTATTAATTGATATTATAATTTTCTGAAGACATCATATTTTAAGATTTCAAATTATTATCATCAATCCTTTGTTTCTTTCTGCAGAGAATATTTTTACATCTTAAATCACTATACACAAATCCTGCATTATGCATCTTTATAACTACTTTTTTAATAGCATTTTTAACTTCAGTAGTTTCATGTAAAGTTAAAAGTTCATAATCATCCAAAAATTCCATTATAACTACTTGCCATCTTTTGGAACTTGTTCATATCCAAAAAGTTTAGGTGTAATGTCTAAATTAGCACAGGTTTTATGTGCATCTATTCTATACTGTTATACAAATTTCATAAGTAGTTTTTGTGAAAAGGTGGTAAAATCATTATTATTATTATATTGTTCAACAAGAAACAATAATTTGCTTTCATAAAGTTGTTTCAGATATTTAAATTGAATTTCTGCTCCATTTGAAACCTTGAATGAAGTGATATATGGAAATTTCATTTTTCAAGGATCAATTTGAGAAAAATTTTGATAGTAAATACCTAATGCATCCAATTCTCTTTGAAAATACAAAATGTTTGAGCTAGAGATTCCATAAAATGTCTATAATATGGAAGATAAAATAATGGTAAAATTGGTATTAAAGGATCACATAAAAAATTTCTTTTCTCAAAAATTACATCAGCAATACCAATATATGATCCTATAAAAGAAAATGAATTCAGAATAATCAAAAAATATGAAACAAGAAATATATGTTAAAAATTCAAATTTAATCTACCTGTGAAATATAGTAAGAAATATAATAATTGAGTTTTTAATATTTTGTATTAGAAGATTTGCAATATACTTTGCATAGTATGCATTGACTTGATTATATGAGCAGCAACCTCTAACATCTAATTCTGATTTTACTTTTAGATTACTTATTATATATATGCCACCCTTATTAAATGAAATGCCATTAGTTATCATCTAAATGATCTCTTAAATTCATTCTTTCTTATTTTTTCATCATCAAACATATTTGACATAGAATTAATTACATCTAAAACAAAGGCATAATCAATATTATTTAGTTTTATATATTTACAATCTTCAAAAAAAGATTCCAAATATAGGATGTTGAAGAGTAACTGGATTTCCAGAATTTTCTGCTGGATGATGATTAAAATAAATTCAATCAATTTGTATTTTTATCCATTTCTTTGGCTTTGCAATTGAACTTGAAGAATCTGATAATCTTATTTTCTTCATGAGTCCTTTATATAAACTTCTGTATCTTTAATATTAGCTTTACATTTATATTTATTTTCTGTGGCTAAATAATAATTGATAAATAATAAAAAAGTGATTAAAATTGAAGTATTAGAGGAAAAAAAAACAAAGATTAGTTAATGTTGTAAACAATATACAAATGGTAGATAAATAAAATGAAATGGAATGAACAAAAATAATTTTTTTTACGCAATTTGTTTATTACCTTTACCTCCTCTAATGAATTAATTCTCTTAACATTTTTTTCTATTCCTTCACATGCTTCTTTCAATCGTTCATATTTTTCTTCAACTCTTCTTTTTCTTTTTTTAATTTTTTTACCTGTTCTTCTTACCTTCTCTTCTGCTCTTTGTCTTCTATTCTTCTTCATCCAACTTTCTACTCAACTTCTTCTTTCTTCTTACTTTTCCAACCTTTCTAACCTCTCCTTAGCATCATTTAATTCTTTTCAATTTTTTCAATCGTTATCATTTTTTAAAAAAAAGATTTTAAAATGAATTTTTTTTATTGATTTAGATTGTAATTGTTATAAATATTTTGGACTAATGATAAATTAAATTTTTTTTACGACAAAAAAATTATTTTATTTTAATTCAACTAATAATAAAAAAATATATAAAAATGTAAAAATTGTCAAAGTACTTGCATAAGAGGAAAATATTTAAACTCAAAGCCATTTGTAAGTATTACCTATTCTATGAGCATTCTGACAAAAATCTAACTTTTACTATTACTACTGCTATATATTATTATTACTAATATTTATATTTTCATTGTTTCATTATCTTCGTCAACTTCACTCTTTACCTCTTTTTTCTTTTCTTTATTAATCCACTGTTGAATTGCTTTTATTCTTTTCTTCTAGAATTTGTTTTTCATTGGTAAAAGTTTTTTTATGTAAAAGCAATAACACTCTTTTCCTCTGTAAGTAATTCATAAATTTCAATAACCAATTTACTAAATGAAAAATTAGACTTTTTGTCAAATAATTATTTAAAATTCTTTCATAGATTTTTGATTATTTGTAAATATTTTTTATTATCAATAAGTTCATTTGATTTATTTTTGAATTTGCTTAGTTCTATTTATTAATTATTTGATCAATTTTTTGATTTATAATAGAGAATTGATTTTATAAGTTTTATAGTAGTGAAATAAAAAACCAAGTAAGTGTTCAATTAACAATCCACAAAAAAGTTTATAGTTGAAAGTAAGCATTTTTTAAATGTTATTATAGTTGTAATTTTTATTGATTATTTGTTTTTTAAACTAGAATAAAATTATGTTTAATGGTAATTATTAGAAGAATTTGTTATTTAAACTTTTTTTACCTGAAGACTAAGTGAATTGGTGATGTTTTTATAATGTTCTAATATAAGTTGGAATTATTTAACAATGAGAGAAAAACAAAGATTTATAGAATATGGGCGCTTTGCAATAGAAAGGTCGGAAACTCCGATAAATATAATTTTGAGATAATTGAGTTTGAAGTTTTGATCACATGTAAACAGATCGGCAATCCGCAGCAATAAAAATAGACTGTCCTTATTATAGTATAGATTTGCCGATCATTTTTTATTATAAAATTATAT